TGTGTGTGTGTGTGTGTGTGTGTGTGTGTGTGTGTGTGTGTGTGTGTGTGTTTCTGTCTATGTATGTATGTATGTGTGTGTGTGTGTGTGTGTGTGTGTGTGTGTGTGGTTGGAGGAGCTCAGCCCGACAGAAAGTGCTGAGCAGATGCTGCAGTGTGATAATAAATGACATCAAAAAACTTTAAAAAGGACAAATAAAAAGCACCAGTATCGTCGGGGCTTATCAAATTACAATCTTTAATAATTTACCACCGGGTCTGTTTATTACCGGGTTTTGGAATGCATCCCTACCTTCAGATGACGTAAAGCGCGAAAAGGCTCTCTATAGATCCAGCGTTGGTTTGTCCGTTCTGAGCTGCCGTAGCAACATGGCGGGTAAAGATGGCGGACTCCGTGAAGACGACCCACTCTATGTAGATATAAATGTATTTTTCTAAGCTAATGAGACACTACGAATCTTAGTTTAAGGTGATTATACACTGATTAAAGCATAGTTATGAATATTATATTCCATTGCTGCCAATTAATCGCCCTAAATGTTACACACTGTTCCTTTAATGATTGAGAGGAATGGCACAAATCATGGGGAAAATGTAATATCTGTAAACATACCCAAGTTGTTTGTTTTCAACAAGCACAGATTGTGTTGAGTTAAAACATAAACGGAGATTAAAGTTACGAGAAGAAAGTGAAACACTCTAGTTTACTGAAACAAAGCTTAAAGATCACAACTTTAGTTTTCCAAATATTGCACAATTTCCTCAGGTTTTTATGATACCACTTCAGCCTGTTGGATGAAACTCCACATACACTGTCCCATGACTGCAGCTATCCCCTTTTGGCTTTTATTCTCGCTAACCAGGGAGCGATTCACACCTGCAGCCTATAATACTGATAACTAGTGTTTGATAGAAAACCAGCTTGAAGTGATTTGTAAAAACACATTTTTATCAAATGATTGAAACTATAATGAAGACATTGAAGCGACAGATGTGTAAAGTGTAGTAATTTCACTATTTTATGAAACCTTACCACTTGCCATGTTTTCCCTGTCAGAAGTGACCAGTCTGTTGGAGAGAAGCGCGGAGCTGATTCGGACCCTGGAGCAGATAAACATGTCCCTGAGGGAGGGGAAGAGTCTGGACATCAGCCACAGGACCCTGGAGGCCATCACTGGATTCAAGGCCCAGCTGGAGAGCCTGCTGCAGGGGAGGAAGTGGAGGAATGCTGTGGAGCATGTCTGGGCCTTTGGGCCTCGCAGGTCTGACACAGGCTTTAGCAACATGGTTCATGAATCAGGGGAGGCAAAATGTATTCAGTTTGGACTCATATGGCACATAACATTCTACTAATTATAAGAACATTCTCCTACAGGAAGTGTGGCCTTTATTTACCTCAACTGCAGGACCAGAAAGCAGGCCTGTATTTGAGATGGGCCTTTATTCCTCTTTTGCTCTGTTTTTGTACACATATTTAATCTGATTTCAGTTAGAAGTCGTTCTGTTTTGTCCACGATTTTAAGGATAATTTATAATTATGCAGCACAGGCTTGCAAAACAAATGCAGTTATCACCCATTTGCTGCACAAGAAAAACATGACCAAGCACATCAAAATCCGTAGTACATTCCTGTAGTATTGAATTTGAATTTGCACCAGGAGGAATGTAAACAGCAGCATTAAGACAGTTCTCTGGGCAGATAGTATGGCTGGTATCTTAACATAAAATATTCAACATCAGGGAAACATGATCCATCAGCTCATGTTTCAGCACCAAGCATCATTGATGTATACTCAGAGTACACCTCCTCTTGTCCCACCGGAGTCTGGTCACTGTTTTGGTTTTACGGCCAACAACTGTCCTGTTTGGATTCAGTCTCACTTTTCTCATCACCCTTGTTTTTAGCATCAGCAGGCAGTCATAAGCCCACTGCACACTACCTGCTCAGCACCAGACAGAGACTAGCTCATGAACATGGTGAAGTATTTGTCAGCTAAAGTGCCAGGTATTCTTCTCAGGATTGGTAGAGACCTAAACAGAGCTAAAAAAGAGTTAATATTGGACTTAAATTTATCAGGTGGACACAAACCCGAATCCAAATGAATGTTATTATTACCCTGTGTCTGCTGGATGGTTTGATAAAAAACTTTTGCAAACACATTTGCTATTGCGAATGTGTGTGGTGTTAATACGTCATTGGTGTGTTTACAGCTTGTTGGACTGTCTCCAAGTGGCCAACAAATCGCAATTAATGCAGCTTTTAAGTAATTGTAGAAATACAGTATTTCTTGTCACTTCAAAACAGATAAGCACTAGCGTTTGAAATATGTGGTCTTAAGAAAATCCTTTGGAATGAAGCTGCACTACATAGCTGGGGTTTGTATTTACACAAATGAATGATTTAGGTATTCATCGTGTACTGTTCTTGTTTTCAGGTATGGGCCCAACATTCTGCTGAACAGTGTGGAGGGCTACCAGCGGCCTTCAGTGTGGCAGTGTTTGGACAGGGGAGTGAAAGCTGGCGAGGCTGGAGCTCAGGCCGCTGTTATACGGGACTTGGATAACAGCATAGTCAGTGGCTTCCAGCTAGCCACTCTGTCAGGGCCCATGTGTGAGGAGCCCCTGATGGGAGTTTGCTTCTCCGTGGAGAAGTGGGACATCCAGTCTTCAGCCCCCCCACAACATCAGGACTCCTTGGAGGAGGACTCCATATCCCATGGGACTTTAGAAGACAGCAAAGTGGAAGGCAGCAGTGAGACACTGGCGGAGGGTACGACAGACAGGCCGCTCCAGGCCAGGCACAGGCCAGGGGCTGCCTCAGCAGACTGCTACGGGCCAGTCTCCGGCCAGCTGATCGCTGCCATGAAGGAGGCCTGCCGTCACGCTTTCCAGGCTCAGCCCCAGAGACTCATGGCAGCCATGTATACCTGCGAGATAATGGCCACTGCTGATGTGCTGGGTAAGAGAGCATTGTCAACCAATTTCTGCCAAACAAAGAAAATCTTCTTGATTGACGATGATCCGTTTCATTAGTTTTTACGTTTTTTTTAAATAGTAGTGATGAAAAAACACTTTCTATCTTATAGTGGTATTCCTCCATGTAGATAGTTTAGCATTCATTTGTCCAGGTTTTGAGATATCTGTTTCTGAGATGTCTGCTTAAACCCCAGTAAAGTGGAAGGTAGTGGGATTTTGTTTGTGACTACATTACATTACATTACAGTCATTTAGCAGACGCTTTTATCCAAAGCGACTTACAATTCAGATTCTACACCGTAGGCTCAGCTACAGGAGCAATTTTTGGGGTTAAGTGTCTTGCTCAAGGACACATCGACATACGATTAGCGGAGCCAGAACCGGAGATCGAACCACCGATCCTCTGATTGAAGGACTGCCCTGCTACCCACTTACCACAGTCGCCCTAGACTAGAATGGTCTCTAACCACGGTTCTGTGCCTGCATGGTACATATACTCTAAATGATTTACTACAAGATGAATTCAAAGGTAGAGATAGCATTATTTTGGCAGTAGGGGATTCCTGTCGGAGAATGGCAATGTGCATTTTCCAGTTCTGAGCCAGTGGAGAAACTCTGACAGTCAAGTGACCTTCTTGCAGGTTGAGGCTGTCCCTGCAGATTGAAGGGATGCTGCAGTGTGGGTCCTACTTCATTTCCGTTGCAGAGGAAGAACTCACCTGTAGCTTTTTGTCAGGCAGCTTGAAATCGCAATGAGGACATCTGCAGTTATGTCAGGGTATCCAGTATGTTAAACAAACCGGGTTGATGGTGTGTCATCCGTGTCTAAGTGTAAAATCTGTGTAAAAGTGTTCGTAGTTGCTAGGCCCTGCCATCATAGAGAGAGATAATACACTATGAATCATAGCTGTGAGAATTATGAGACAGTCACAGGTTCATTGTTTTGCACTTACAGAAGTTCAAATTCTACTTCCACACCTTCGCACACGGGGCCAATCACTGCGGGAAGTGGCGTCATTTGGAAAGTTACAACAATTGTCAAATGTAGCCCCTCCCCCGCCTATCTATTAGAGCTCCCCAAAACAGATATCAATGCCATCTGAAAGGAGAGAGTGGGAACCCTTGTATATGGTATGTATTTATTCATGATTCTACCAAGAGTGTGTTGCTCCTATATGCATTCAACAGCAGCACAGAGCCACTGCTACAAATAGCCTCAAACTCAATTTTGGCCACCACAGCAAAAAACTAAAAAGTAGTTGTAGTTACTGGATGTTCTATAAGAGCGAGAAATACAAGGAGAAGAAGAGGGAGTGAGATGGCGTCTGGACGAGAGACGTGAACAGATTCTCATAGTTAGTAAAAAACTAAAGACAGTCGAAGTGTATATAACAAGGACCTACCGATGCACATTCAACCCACACTGGACCCGTTCATATGAGTCAGCTGTCACTCTGTGAGTCTGCAGTGAAGTTACTTCACTGAAAAACCGGAGAATTGGAAAGTAACATTGGGCTTCATGATCAGAGACGTCTACACTTCTGCCCACTCTGTTTCTCTCTCTTCTCTCTCTCTCTTCAATGTTGTCATGATCGGTAGAGTCTACATTATGAGCAATAATGGAGTAATGCATATGATAATAAACAGATACAAAACAAAGCAAATTCTCTTTCCCAATACTAATACTTGTGTACTATTCATACGTATATTCAGTTTCCCAGGAAGAAAGGGCAAAACACTATAGTTTTAACACAACTTCATTAGTTGATATTTACTTGTTTTAGGAGGTGCTGCAGCACACTTACTTCCTGGGTCCATGCTATTTGCATAAATCATTATCTCAATAAATATACTGAAAATGTCCCTGCTTATGGACATATTGGAACCTCGGTGTTGTTGGTTTATGACAAATCAAGCTTAATTCCCGTAATATTCCGATCTGTGTGATAGTATTTATGACATAAACAACAGTTTGGAAAAATAAATTGACGTGAAATTAATTGCCCGAAAAAAAGGCCTTAGGACAGGCCACTTCTTTCATCGGTCTGTCTGAGACTTATTTTTAAAGTTTCCTGTCCATGTTTTTTGCTACATGAGTATCTACTGCTGCACTAGATAATAAAAACTGAGCTTATCAAGATTTTACTGAAGCTAACAGTATGATTATTTTGTTAGGATTCATTAATTACAGCTCCCACAAGGCTTTGAAAACTTTGGAAACAGAACCAACAGTGACACTGTCATGCAGACGTACAGTTCCAACTAGAGCTACACTAATAAATCAGCTAGAATATACAGTACCTGCAATATTGGCTACTATAGATAAATCTGTATCGATGCATCCTTGTGTAAAGAAGTAACAAAAAATAGCTGGACACAGATTCCAAACTAGGCATAAGTCGGTTGGGCTATGGTTCAAACCTTTGTCTTAGTTTGTTGAAATGTCTTTACCTGGAAAAAAAAATTTCCAGGAAATGTGATCATGTGTTCTTTGCCTCTTTCTATACCAGGCCGGGTGTATGGTGTACTGGGGAAGCGAGAGGGTCGCGTCCTCCATGAAGAGATGAAGGAAGGGACGGGCATGTTCATCATCAAGGCCGTTCTGCCTGTGGCTGAGAGCTTTGGATTTGCCGACGAGTTCCGCAAGAAGACCAGCGGCTTGGCCAGTCCACAGCTGGTCTTCAGCCACTGGGAGGTGAGTATTATGTACATATGTATATATTAGGGGTGGGGGAAAAGTTAATACCACATATTATCGCAATATTTTGCATGGCAAAATTGTATGAATACACGAACGCCAACAATCTTTTATTATATAAACTATTAATATTGCAATGGCAGATGTCGGAATTATTAGTGCCACTGCCATGCATAAAGATACCTGTTATCTTTCATACAATACTGAACTATTAAAATAATGGACAGATTCATGTTTGGGGGGGGGAAAAAACAAAACATAAATTGTCTAATCAACCAAAAATTTCGCGGACCCCCTGCATTACCTCCGCGGACCTCTGCTCTAACAATAATCTTAGTATAAAAATGTCCCACCACTCAAAGCGCTTTAACACTACATTTCATTAGTCACCCATTCATACACTGCTACCATGCAAGGTGCCACCTGGCCATCATCGCCTAACCATTCAGACCCATTCATACACCGCAGGCTGTGACAGCTGAGGGGTGACTGTGGTTTAGTGATAGAGTGGGTTGTACGTTGTTCAGAGGATCGGCGGTTCAATCACCTGCTCCACTATTCCATGTCGATGTGTCCTTGGGCAAGACACTGAACCCCAACTTGCACAGTACATTTACATTTACCATTTACTATGAGTAGGCTACCATTTGGTCGTTTTGGTAAACATTAAGAGGTTGAAGAGATTAAGAAGCTGGCTAGCACTAGTGCCAGTGTTGCTCAATCACGTAACCCCTATTGCAGTTCATAGCAGTCCCTCAAGTCTCCCGAAGCACTACTACTGGAACGGTTCTAGTTATTTTTCTTTGCAAAGGAAGGCTTTTTGAAAGGCATCTTGAGATAGCAGGAAGAGGCTGGCTTTCAACATGGTGGGTGGATTCTTTTCTTTTGAATGTTTTACACTGTACAAACATTTCTATTGCATTATAATAGCAATGTGTTCTACATGTGTCTAGAACTGCGTTCACATGTGTGTTTCTTCATCAAGAAAGGATTTCCTGATAGACTTATCCTAATACCAGAAGGAAATGGGGTCCATGTCTCATAACAATCACTTTTCTGGGGAGATTTTATTCAGAGCAGCTCCAATACTTGATTTGCTGTGTCAGCAATTTCTTTCCTCTTTAGGGGTTTAAAGCAGTGGCGGGCCGTGCATTTTATACCTGGGCCATCAGTGCTGTCCTACCACAGTTGAACCTCCTCATGACGCCACAGCTACGGTTATTATTTGTTTCGTGTAAAAATGAAGATCAACACCTACAAATACACTAATTACTGAGTGCAGATACATGAATACGAGCTGCGTAATGAACAGACAGTGCATTAAAAAACCTGCGGAGCTATCACACGTATTCATCCACACACTGAAGAGCACGGGCCATACAAATATTATTCACATCAGAGGGAACAATATTAAATAGACAAATAAACACAGTAGTAACGCTACGATCACTACCTCCAGGAAATACACGACACCTTAGTTCTTGTTACTGACGGATTTATTCGTCTGTCAACACCGAGAGGGAAAATGAGTCCACTTGAAAACACATGAATCTTCAAAAGATGATCACTTTAACTCACTTTAAACTTACCAGAGCTGCTGTTCACTATTTAAAGACAAAGTCCATCCTCCTTTCTTTGTTAATAAAGAGTTTAATCTCACAGTTGTTCAGTACATCCGTGCGTTTTAGTTCCAGTAAGAAGTCCTTCTCCATTCATGGACGCCAGTGAAGACAGTCGAGCCTCCCCAGTTGTATTTCTTGAATACGTTTTAATGCGTTTGAGGGATGAAAATGTCCGCTCGACAGAGGCAGCAGATATTGGGATTGACACCGCCCAACATGTCAGGCTAGCCCACTGACCAATCACGTATGGCTAGGCCAGCTAGAAGGCTCTGACACGTCAAAGAATACGCCCAACATGTCAAACTAAAGATCTGATTGGTTGAAGACTATGACAATCAACAATATCGTCCCCATTCACTTAAACTGCAAAGGGATTCACTTGTGAGTCTGCAGGCCTCGGGCCTCTCTTCTTACCTAGAGACACAGAGGTGAACTCTGATTGGATAAAAGCTCTACTTAAAACAAGCTGCACTGGAAGCAGAGCAACAGAGGACGACAGTAACTGTGCAATGAGAAAATAAGCTAATGGGAAAAAAAATTATAATACATGTAGTGTATTTAAGAAAAATTATTAAATTATAAAATAGCTATAACTTTGTGATTCTGTCTAGGCCAGCAGAGAAGGCCTTGCTGGCCCTGACGGCCCACCACTGGTTTAAAGGAATAGTTCAGAATAGTTTAGAAGTGTGGTACTTATCCACTGTCAGTATATTACCTACAGTAGATGAAGTTTGGAGAAACAGACTGGAGACTAACCGATGGAGGAATCAGTAGTCCAGCAACTCTTGTGTTCTGGGAGGGAAAATGACTGATTTTGTCAGTGGAGTCCTGTGGCTTTGATAAGAGGATGGATAAGTTTCACTTTGAGTTCAGTTCCCCATCACAAATGGCAGTCCGACAGCAAGGTAAAGCAGTGAAAATGTTCTAAATAAACTGATAGTAATTGTTTTCAGGTGTCTAAAATACGTCTTGTACTCTAGTAATCTACTGTAGTAATACACTGACTATGGAAAAGTACCTCATACAAACCCACTTCAAAACACCAGAAATATCCTATTGTAAAACTTCATGTCTAATTTGTGTTGTTGCAGTTATTCATATATTTACCCACTTTTGTTCAAAAAATTGTAGAGACATGAGACTGTCTGCTTTTTTGCCAACTTTTTTCTTACCCACAGACTGTATAAAATAAGTGGATTTCTGGACTGTGGCTTTGGAGCTTCGAGTTTGGCCTTTGGCCATCTTGTTTTTTTAAAAACCAGAAGCGACCACATTTTGTGGTTGATTAAGTGGTTGGAGCTGTGGAGGAGCGAGGCCTGGCAGGGCCAGATACTGTTAGCATAGCAAACAATAAGGCTACATCCATACTACTCCGTCCACACGGCGTTTCAGCATCGTTTTCGAATTGATCTCTGTCCACACTAAAACGCCTGAAAACGAATATCTCACGAATGTCACTTCATGTACACTGGGCATGCGCGTGGGTGGCGATGTAAACAGGAAGTAGATTGGTTGCTTAGTTAAAAAAAATACGACAGAGTAATAAAGTAGTCTTTAATAATGAAAGGTTGTGTTTGATACTTAAGATCTTCTCTAAAATCTTCCTCTATGAACTCAGACAGTTCGTGGAAAGTTTTAGAAGTTTTATTTTTCAGACTTAGTTACAACGCTGTGGGTCTCTGTCTCTCTCACATCACTTACACGTAAAGGTTTACTAGATTATGGGTCCATAAATGTGGTCAACACACGTCTCTCACTCGTTCCCTCTCAGTTTCGTTGTTTCTGTTTTCACTCGTAGCTCTGCTGGTGGCTTAACTATCTGTCATACTGAATAGCATTTACTGCTTTTGTTCCTTTATATTTTTTCTGCGGACTTCACAATAGTTGTCAGAACAAAATAAGCATTAATAAGAAAAGGAAAGTCCTCTGTTTTGTGTCCATCACCCTTCCTAAAGCCGCTAACCGTGACTTCAGACGTCCGCTCCATAGGGATGATAACCCCGCTGGACACGCCGCTGGTCACTAATTGTTCCAATAACAGACTTTAACTGAACAACAGCTGCTAGTAAAGGCAACAAGGTCAGCAACACCTGTAATCAGTTGTCCATGTTAAATTAACCAGGTAGTCGATCGGTAAACAATGTTGTTGTTTGTGATCTTCTGGGTAAGGGTCAGGTGATGCGAGTGTGACGAATCAGGGAAGGACACGTCATGACTGCTAATGTGGCACAATAAGTCATTTGAGTTCAGGAAGTACAATAGTTGCTTGGGTGTAGTGTAAGTTAAGTGAGTTTATCATGTTTCCTATGTGTTAATGAGGAGGAAGTGTTCATTTTAGTTAAAATGTGGGGTACAGTGTTATTTATCGCCAGAAACATTTGTAGGCAGTAGATCCAGTGGATCGCCAGTAGGTGGCAGTGTTGCGACATCAGCAGTGTCTGTGACAGAGAGCCAGAGGGAAGTCTCGCGCGAATACGCGAGAATAGGAGAATCTCTGAACAGGATAGAAGAAGAAAGTGCTGAGAAGCGACTGCATACCTAAACGTATATATTATATCTTTGTATTTTACAGAACCATTTTCATTAAATGTGTAGCACCAGATTGAGCCTGTGTGACGTCATTCTGTGCACCGCTACATATTTTGGCGAGCCAGCCAGGAGGGTGATCCAGCCAGGGATCCATCTGGAAGAGACGAACCTGGATTAACATTAGGAGAAAAGGGAACTATGGAGCAGTTACAGGACGAAGTAAGCAGAACACTGTTGACTTTGGAGAAGTCAGATCTCATCTCGGTGTCCGAGTTTCTAAAGTGTAGTGAGCCATCTGGAGGGTTTGCAAGCCAAGCTCGACGCACCCTCATCAGGTTGGCTGAGAGAACTTTAGAAGACATTGAGGATGAAGAAGGCTCAGGGATATTTCAGCAGTTTCTTCAGCGTCTACTTAACTTTATGGGTTCCCTAAAAGAGTCAAATCCCAGTGAATCAGACATAAGACAAAATGAGGCAAGTGAGTTAGATACACTAAAAAATAAGTATAAGAGATTGCAGCAGGAACAGGATGAAGCCCGACAGCTGCTGGAGGAGGAAGTCGGGATGTTGGAGGAAAAGCTAAAAATAACAACACAGGTAGAGGACACCAGGGCTGCCACTGCACTGCCAGCCACACTGCCAGAGGTGACTCTGAGGCGGGAGTTTCGGATCTGTGGGCAGATTGGAGAAGCGGGTCAGAGAGACAAACTGTCCTACACAAGTCTCGTTAACCAGATTGAGTCTGGGCAGCGTAAAGGACATTCCGAAGCTGAGATTATTGAAGCAGTCACACGTGCTGTAAATCCAGGCCTTCACCTGAGAGAGATGCTCGAAATAAAGAGAGGA